GAAAGGGGGATAATCTTCTGCACAACTAACTTGTAAAAGTGGACCTAAGCTTTGGAAGTTGGATGAAAAATGACTACTTGACCACTTTAGATGCATACTTTCCTTTTTGAAAGTCTTTATATATGAAGTATATTATCTTTTTTTCCCCTCTAGGTCTATGATTCCCAGTAAATAAATCACTAATGGGAGAGGGACACTGAAGGCAAAATGTAAGAATTCAGTATGAACTCTTTGTCTCACAGAACAAACTATTCTCTCAAACCATACCACACTGCATATTAATAAGGAGGACATAAAATTAAAGTATATATTAAAAAAATGGTTAATCACCTATTCAGGGAAGCTGTACACAAAGCGGTTTATCAGTTTTCACTGACATTAGCATTTCCTGTCTGTTATTCTGCATTTCAGCATCTTGGAAAGATGCTACTAGGTGAAGTACAGAACAAGTTTCTGAGTAGCAACAGTGAAATCAATTGCTACACTTGCTTTCAAAAAAACACATTGATCTCAAAATTGGCTAAACCCAGAACTGTCACAGCAATATGCAGAGGCAACCTGTGAAAAAGATAACAGCCGCTTGGTGAACTAATAAAAAGTCATATTTTATGATTTTTGTGCTGAACTAAGGTTTAGGCATGTAAAGTAACAGAGATGTTTACAGCTCTAGGTACCAACTTCAGAAACAAAGTAAGTTTCAAAAGTCACTAAGCAAAGTGAACAAGATCCCTAACAAGTTTTGTTTTGGGGGATTTGGTTCTTGGATTTGTGGGGTTTTATCTATTATTTACAGTTAACTATAGTGTTTTAAAATCTAGCCAAATACAAATAACAACCCAACTAATTCACCAACTTATACAAATCAGAATGGCAAATATAGTTTAAGTTTAAACTATACCATGTAGACATCAAATTCATCCAAGCATCTGAAAGGAGATTCAGTAATGGACCACAGAGAAAGAATAAAACAAACTGTTGAGAAGGAACGTTCACCTCCTGATAAGGATCTCACATCATTAAGGGCAGCTTTGTCTTCCTCTCGAGGCTGAATCTTGAAATAAAAGTATTAGAGGAATTTTTAAACCTGAGATGGAGACTTACTAACAGAATCATAATTTTAACAGCAAACACATTACACATGAGCAGACAGAGATGACCTGAGAACAATTTTATGCACTTCACTGCCACTGCCATTCTGGATTGGGAAGGCTCCCAGCCATTTAATAACACATTTCTAGGATCACTGAAACTTTCTCCATCACAGTAAAATACATTGAACAGATTTAATGACTCTGCCAGTGTTCTCCTGGTGAGACACTGGAACAGGTTGCCCAGAGAAGCTGTGGATGGCCCCTTGGAAGTGTTCAAGGCCAGGTTGGATGAGGCTTTGAGCAACCTGGTCTAGTGGAAGGTGTCCCTGCTGATGGCAGGGGAGTTGGAACTAGATGATCTTTAAGGTCTCTTCCAACCCAAACCATTCTACGATTCTGTGATGATTCTTATTCAATTCTCTATTTTTAATAGCTATTAAACAATGTTTAATAAATGTCAACCAGTGTAGTTACCTTACAGTAAAATCCAATGGTTACAAGCTACAGTAGAAAAGCAGTTAATTGATTTACAGCAGGAGTTTAAAGGAGGAACAGTTTCTTTACATAAAACATTGTGAACAGTCCTTTGATTATGATGACACCTTGTGGCATTCCTCCTTTCAGATTAAACTTAAGTATTTTTTTTTTGTCCTGTTAATTACATTACCTTTAACAAGCTATGCAGGGAAACAAGAATTATTTTAGAGTGAGGGGTCTTTTAGTCTTTTTGTTAGGGGGCAGGGGGGAGGTTTGTTTTCTTTTTAAAATTTACCTTCCTTGACTAAATATAGATTTCTTGCATGAGACACATGAAGCATCAACTATTAAAAAAGTATTCTGATAAAGCCAGGTAAAGACTTGACATTTTATGGACTGAGCTTCAGTTCTTCAGATACCTATCCTCCACCTGTTTCATTAGGACTGTGTCACTACACATTTTTCCCCTCAATTCCTAAAACTGAAGTCTCCCACAGAAATAAAAGTAAATACCCTCATGACTAAAGCTTTTTGGGAGTTATGTTAAAAGATACACAGAAAAAAAATAACATTGAAGCTTTTAACCATTAAAAGTTATTTGAATAACTAGAGCCATTATACAACTGCACAAATAAAAGCAAACTCCCTATCGATGAAATAGGAATGAGTAATTCTGGAAGACCAACTAGGATGACCACTAGTGAATTCTTATCCTCAGTCTAAGACCACAGTCCAAATTTATTACATGTAATCTATTTATTAGGTTGCCCAAGGAAGTTGTGGATGCCCCCTCCCTGGAAGTGTTTAAGGCCAGGCTGGATGAGGCTTTGAGCAACCTGGTCTAGTGGAAGGTGTCCCTGCTGATGGCAGGGGGGTTGGAACTAGATGATCTTTAAGGTCCCTTCCAACCCAAACCATTCTATGATTCTGTGATTCTATGAATCTATCATTCTATGATTCCATGATTCTATGAATCTAGCAACCTGCCCATATAAGATGGCAATATGTTTTTTGTTCTTGCTTCTTTTCAACAACATCCTACAATTTAACATATCAAATTTTGGAGAGGGGACAACAATTTATTCTATTCTTTAAAATTGATGTTTTAGCAGCTGAGAGTTAAAAAAAAAAAAATTCATTACATATTATGATAATTGAAGTGATATAAATTAACTTACTGTTATTGAAAGAGTCTCATTCTTGTGATCGAAAAGTATTTTTCCAGAGCAAGCTCGAATACGTAATAAATGGTCAAAGTAGAGTTTGCATCGTAAGGACAGGAGCCTTAGATCAGTTAAATCAAGCACACAAATTAGGTCAGTAAGTTTTAAAATACATGAAAAAGTGACAACAGATTTTTATCAACAGTTACACATGGTAATCTCAAATATGAAGCCCTGCTCCACTAATAACATTTTCCCAAATCTATTACGCTCTCGAGCAGGTGACATTCAATATTGGGCATATTGGAGAGAATCAATGACACAAAGTAACAAGGCAAGAAATCCAGATGTACGGGCTTTGTATTTTCTAGAAGTCTGTCTCAGTAGACTGGAAGCTTTTCACACCTTTCTTCCACAACTTCACCAGAAAATGACCACATTCCACTTCTTTCCTATCCAGTATCAGGACTGCACAGTAAGGATAGTAAAGAATTTATGTGGACTCTGCTAGACTCCAGGAATTAAACAGTGTTGAGTATTAATTTCTCCTCTCACCCACTTCCCTGCCAATCCTAGCATATAATTCCCCAATAGACAATACATCACAGTTCCTTCAGAAAAGAACTATGGTGCTTTAACACATCTTAAAGTGGGATTCATACTCAAATTTGGGCACTAGGAAGATTCTTTTTGACATATATGGGCACCATAAGGCAAGCAGCATCAGATTCTGCAGATATATCTTACCTACTACTATTTCTACACTCCATCTGCAAAGGCTGGGATTCTCCTGATCATTACCATTTGTCAGGATCATACTGGTACCCCCTCCAAATCCCAGATCAAAAAGTATAAAAAGCAGAGCCAACATAGACATCCCCCAATTTCTGTTGAAGGGAATGATAAAGGATAAAAGACTGCACTGGAAAACAGACTATCAGTCCTTTTGAAGGGAGGCCACCACAAAAATCTTCATTGATAGGTATAGAAGCAGGACTGAAGCAAGAAAGAAGGGGTGCACTCGCATCGTGGGCACTCCATGTCAGAATAATCTGTCAAATAATAGAATTTAAATAAAGATCTTGAATTTTTTTCAGCACAGGGCAGAGAGATAGTGTTTGGCCCACAATGAAATTATGTGAGCACAGCACCACTAATTATACTCAATGACAATGAGTGACAGTCCAGATGATTTCACTGCTATTTTACTGACCAAACTGGCACTGACACAGAACTGCCTTGGATTAAGTCAGCATAGTCGAGGCCTTTGGTGTGAAGCAAAATACAGCCTCCACTGATCACATCGTTTTTCCAGCTGTCAGTCCAGGCTGCCTATAAACTGTCAGGCACAATAGTATTGGATCTCGGAGCAAGATCAGGTTAGAAAGATTGCTGTGAATACCACCTTAAAGATATCTCATTCTCACACGTCTGCTCTATAATTTTCAGCCTGGAATATGGATGTAAACTTACATCTACATGTTACATTTATTTGAAACCTGAAGTTACAGTAAAATTAACTCACCTTAAGAATTGCCAATATATTTTGAATCTCTGTGTCATTATTTCTTCCAGCAGCCTAATAAATTTCTTTAAGTTCTTTACTTTACTGTTTGCATCTTCATATCTTTCCTTTGCATCATGAAATTGCCTGTTTTAATTATCAGAGATTCTCGGATCAACATGCATTAAGGCAAACACAAGCTATTGTTGTAAATGCTGAAAATCAATTTGAGAATCAAAACATTCAAATAAAAACTTTCTTGCGAGGTTATATGTTAAAGCTAAAAGCATTTGATGAGTCAGGTAAGACACTGTTCACAAATGAAAAGTGGTCAAAAATTAAATTTTACTTCTATTTTTAATTCTTTTGAAAGGAAACTCTTACAACCAAGGAGAATGAATGACTGGACTCCCCACACTCAAGAATATCCAAGGTGAGTGATTCCTTGAAATACACTGCAGTAAAAACCTTAAGTAATCACCTAACTTCTGCATTAGTTATTCAAATTAGAAGTATGCTTAATGCTCAGTACATCACAGAACGGTGAGTTATGTTCACACCACGTAGCCATGACTGGGATACCTCTAAACATTTCTGATTACTGGTAACTTCAAATATATAGTACAGACACTGTCTAAAAACATTAGAGTTCAGCACTCCTAAACCTGTTCAGTACTGGTTGACTAAGCAACCAGCACAGCATGTTTCCACACCTTTGTACATGGTGTAAGTACCAAAAACACATATAAATGCATTGTGAGTCAATAAGAAAACTCTTCTTTCCCCTGTCTTTTCCATCTTACCTGAACTACTTTAGGCATTAAAGATGACTTACTGTACTATTTCTTCTCTGTTTCCATGGCGATCATTTTCAGAATTTATCGTCTCTCGCAAGCGATTCATTTCTGCATCAAGACTCTTAACAGTTCTGCTGACCTCTAAGCGCTCTGGGTAGATTTGCCTAGCTTGTGCGATTTTTTCCTAAAGTTAACGTTTAAAACTCAATTAATTGTTATATTTTCTAAAATTCTGTTTAATCTTCACAACAAATATTTTATGCTATGGAAAAACAAGGTCTCCAAGCAAGAACAATGTTTTTGTATCATTCTTCATATACTTATCACAGCAAACCTAGTTATCATTAACAATTTTACTAACAACATTTAGAGGTAGTTTTCAGCACTAAGAACTGTATCCAAATGAGATCTTTAATATGTTCACAGTTATTTAGTTAATACACACAAATAAAGAACCAAATTCACCATATTTAAATAGGACAGTCTTCCAAAAGTCTTTGTGGATGTGATTTCAGAGTTAGTTAATAAAGCTGGATTAGATAACTCTTCAAAAGATCAGGTATAAGTTGGTACAAGGAAAAACCTATCATCCAAAAAAACCAAACCAGTAGTATTCAACTGAACTTAAAACATAAATTTTAAGGTTAAGTAATTTTAATCTTTTCATTGCAAAATACAGAAGTAGCTGTAGGTAGCTAACCCCTAACTTATTTGTAGAGACAGAAGTGGTGCTCTGCCAGACCAAAGACAGGCCTAGATTCCTTCATACAAAATTACTTTTACTTGATTTAGATGCAGTCAGCTTAAGATATACCTGAGAGAATATGAAGTGCAGCTGTGAATTAATATGGTCTGTATGTTGAACAAGTGGAATGATTTATTATTAAATATTAGAAGGATCATGACCATCTGACTTCAATAAAGAAAAAAAAAAACAAACCACACACCTACCTCTAATTCTTTTTCTTTGGCAGCTAATAATTCTTTATGTCTTTTTATGCAAGCCAAGTGTTCTTTCTGTTTGTCTTCATAGTGCTGCAAACAACGTTTACTGCTTTCCAGTTCTGCATCAGCCTGGTTTAATTCTTCCTGTTTGGAATAAAACAAGGTGCAGTAATTGAGCTGTTTGGAGTAGATTCCTAAGCATCTCTTTAATGTTTACTGACTTATCACAGGTAATTATGTTGTTTTTAACAGTCTAATTTATTTTGCTTTCAGTAAGACTACTCCTTCTAAAGTCCAGGAACTTTGACAGCAACTTATCAGAAAGTCTATACTCAATTCTGACAAGGACATAATAAATGCTTGTAATGTTTTTAGGACTCATACCTCGAGGGGATGTTTTAAACTTTGGCAAAAAGCTATTCTTTCTCCTAAGCCTCCAAAACCTACATTTATTTTATACACTACATTCTAGCCAGAACTTCTGATGGCTGTGTGTCATCAGCCAGAACTGCATTTCTGTGTGTAAATTCAGTGTCCTGCCATACCCAAGTGTTGATACAGTTGAAGTGATATATCCTTCCAGAGAAGCAAAGAAGTATAAAGAATTACATAAATTAGATGAAATTTCTTCCTTATCCCTGTCAAGTAGATGGTTTATCTTAAAAAATAAAAATAAAAAACCACAAACCAAACAAAAACAATAAAAACACTCCCAAAAAACAAAATCAAACAACAAACCAGAAAACCAACCAACATCAACAATCATGGATGCTCTTACCTTTCTCTAATCCTGCCTTAAAGCTAGAACTTGCTATATGTCAACAGTTCATTAAACAACTGTAGAACACATAGTAGCACATCTAATCTAAAATACTTTCAGGAATTTAAGGGTTGCCCTCTACTGCTTAATAACTATCAATAATGTCCTAATATTCTGAATAAATCTATTCTCCTTCACTGTTCTTCTTTTTAAACAGAATGTATCTTTAGAATTTCCATATTAGATACATTATAACTAATATATTTATTCTTCCTATTTTTGTTTGCTCTTGTTTTTTTTTAATCTAGGCTGACTACATTAAGTGTGGCATAGAACAGATTCCTATGGTGATTTTTCTAAGTTTTTCCTCATTCCATCCTTCTACAAGCTTACAATACTGTAAACATGCCAGACTCTTGTTATTTCCATTTTCAAACCATTAATTATTCTTGGCTACATGAGACTACCTTCCATTTGCCAATATCAAATTTTGCATGTCAACACTCTGCTATTTATCTTAAGTCTTGCTACTTCTCTGTGATTTCCAGGTGTCTTCTGTAGTCTTGAATAATTAAAGCTATGTATTGGTACCTTCTGTGATTATGCAACTTTACAGAATAACAACCATTTCATATAGGGACTTCAAATGCTATTTTGAAAACTAATAGTTATGAACACTCTTAGCCAGGCCTTATCAGAAACAAACAAGCCAGAAACCAAATGTGATGCACTAAAAAGGAAAGTCGAGGAAAATGATTTTCCTTCCTTTTCAGTCCATGACTAAAAATACCTGCAAGTAAACTCTATTTCGACATAAAACACTATAGAAACTACACTTAACAATCAACATAATCTTCAAAGTATTGCCAAGCTTATTTCTTGACATGCTCTACATGGAATGCTCTATTTCCATTTTCATAGGTAGACCTTAAATGTATCAGGAAACAGCATACTCTTCTCCTGCCTGCTTTTAACCTCATTCCCCTTACCACACAAAGGGAATGAATTAAAAATACAATATGAAATTATTGCTACCTTAATTGGACCAACAATTTCTTCTACTTGATGAATTTTTTCTTTCATTTCTTCAAATTTTTTTTCAGCTACCTGGAGAATATTTTTCAGTTCTTCCATTTTTATGCTTTGCTGCTGCATGTCTTTTTTTACAGATTCCATCTTACCCTTATTTTCTTTGGCTTCATCTTCCTGTCAAAATATATTAAAATGAAGAATAATAAAAGGAGATATACATTTGCAAATTACTGCACAAGATTTGTATTTTATTATCACTATCAGGGTACAAGATTACATGGAATACTCTGTAACTATAATCAGAATACCAGCAGCTCAATGCAGTTGTCACTAAAGCCCAAAAGAAGAGACTGACGGATCTTGTAGGAGACCACTAAATCAAACTGCAAAAAAGTGGACTTTCCTAATTATCTGACTGAAAATTAAGGGGACTTTATTTGTGAGTTGTGATAAAAAGACTAAAGGGGTTAGGACTTTGTGAAGACTTAGCCATGCTAATATTTTACTACAGTAGTTTTTTAAACAAAAGAACAGGTAACTTCCCTCTGTGACAGAGTATATACACTGAGTATGCAAAGAAATACACAAGGAGTAAGTGTATTATCACTGTTGCCTAGGCAATTATACCATTCCTAATCAATTAATTCATCATGATACATTTTTTTCTGATACAAAGAGACAAATACTTCAAAACCCGGGAAAAATATGTAAATGGAACTTTGTATTGCTAAGATTCTTTTTCACAATCAGGCAATTGTGAAATCAAGGTAACAATGAAAGACAAATACCAGGTGAACAAAAAGCAGGAATAAGTACATAGCAGTTGTCAGAAAGCACAGAAAACAGAAAACCAACCAAAATCCAAGAAAGTAATAAGGAGAAGCAAATATATAAATCTACCAGTTGCATAAGACCATTATCAGAAGCAACAGTAAAAATTTTTACTTTCAAAAAGCAAGTGTCCAATAATTTTCAAACAGAAAGATAATCTCCTACAAAAAGGTAACAGAGTATTTTTCCATCTCACCAAAAGTATAAAGAATATACTTTTTTTAAACCAACAGAAATAGATTATCTGGAAAAGAGAAACCCTGCAAGACCTTACAGAATCTGTACCAATCACTTTTTCAGTAAATTTTGAAATATTTACTTACATGCATGCATGTACACACACACGAAAGACAGACTACTGAAAAAGTGTGAGTTTGTGCCAACATCAGAAATGAAAAAAAAAAAAAAAAAAAAAAACAAAACAAAACTCTAGGCAACTGTCCTGCCTCTCACTTATCCCAGATAAAACAGTGGGAATACTGACATAAAATCTAACTGAAACAACGGTAGTCATGATTATTGTTAACATCTATCAGCATGACTCTCAGAATTTAAATCCTGGCCATCTATACATTAGATTATTACAAAGTAACAACTGAAATTCACAGCCACCATCATACAAATCACAATAGAGTAGCAAATATTTTTTTTCTGTTCTTAAACTACTATGCATACATTTTAAGAACACATGGATAACAATAAGAACTTTGGAGAAACTGTCATACTCTACCATGATCCTTCCCGAGGGCAATATATGAACTTTAAAACTTCTACATGGTGAAGCTACAGCAAAGCAAGAAACAGTGGGTTCAGGGCAGAGCAGCAGTGCTGTGACATAAATTATGCTCCAGAGTGGCTTTTGCCTATGCTCTGACAGTGCCACTTCTGACCTCCAAACCTACAGCACTGCTCCTCCCCAACCAGAGTTTTACAGCTTTGCAGGTCTGGCATGAGGAAAGAAAATGCATGGAATATCCCTTTACAACACCACCTTGCCTTCCATAAACCTGTAGTGCCATTGGTTTGAAAAAGGGCATAAGGAAAAAAAAAACCAAGAATAAAAAAACCCCAACCTATTGAAAACTCACCAAAAATAAATAAAATCATGCCACTAACGTAATTGTAGATGTTCAGTAAAGTGTTATATTCTTCATTATTTATCCAACTTGTACACTAGTTGAAAACCTACAGTATTTGCTTATTTCAAAACACTGCCAACATTAAGAGACATTATTTCTTATCCTTATTGACATCATTAGATATCTGTTCTTACTAATGTACGGATGTCCACTGACTGGTGTTCCTCCATATTTTCCAGATCTGCTATTTCTGCATTTATTGTTCTTTTTTTTATCTGAAAAGAAAAATAAAATATTTTTATGCTTATTGAAAGAGAAAAGTTCACATTTGTTCATTTAAGTCAACACAGAAAGCAAGATATTTAGTCTTTTATTTTCATTAGTGCCTACAAAAGACAGGACTCTTCTCACTTACCTATAGAAACCATTTTTATAAGATGTAACTTGTTCTGAAAGTCACATGCACTTTAAATCATTATGTTATTATTATATTTCCATTCAACACAACAAATGAATAAAATATACTTTATTTTTCCTTCAAATATTCATTTTCAGCAATTTGAGTGCCAGATTTTTTGCTGTTTCTTATTTGTAATTTACTGAATATAACCTTACACAGTATGTATTATTATCTTACACTGCCTCACTGTAACATCATTGGCTACCACAAATATATAACCTACCTAGAAGTACTGGAAAACAAAGAAGATGACTAATAGTTGTAAAACAACTTATAAGTAAATTAACATTAAGAAAACTCAAATGTGAAATATTCAGCGTATTAAAATTGGTTCAGAATATAAATGAAGAGCATGAACGGAAACAAGATTCTGAGAATGAAGAGGTGTGGCTCAACAGAAATAACGGAGGGAAAAGCAGGGAAAAGAAACTTGCATCAAATATTGCAAAAACTTCCTATTTGTGTCAAAAAAGCAGAAGAAATTAGTGACATTTAGCACAAGAGGAAAAAAAACCCACCATACAGAATATGCTAGGATTAATGTGATCTCTATCATTCTGTCCTAAAGGATGAAAGCATACCACAAAAGTAAACATAACAGCAAATAACAAAAGTAAGGATAAACATGCAGAAGTCAGAATGAGAGGGACTGATCAGTTTCTAAAAATTAACTTCTTACCTGTAATTCTTTTTGGTGTCGTCGATGACCGTGCAGATGATCTTCATTCTGCCGAATCTCCTTTTCAATGGAATACAAACGTTGCTGAGATGCTGTTATCCGTGCCTTTCTGTTTTCAATTTCTTTCTCCAAGTGACTTTAGAAAAAAAGTGATACTGAGATATTAGATATTACACAGATATTATTTATTACACACTCACAGAGAAATACACAACATTAAATGCATGACATGACAAAGGGTAAAAGAAGTTTGTTATGCACTGGATGGTTTGAATGATCAGTAAAGAAGTATCAAAGCTCTACAGCAGGACTCATAACCAGTAGATAGCTGTTTGATATTAGGAAGAATTTCTTTACTGAAAGAGTTTTCAGGCATTGTAATGGGTTACACAGGGCAGTGGTGGAGTCCCCATCCCTGGAGCTATTTAAGAGTCGCCTAGACATAGTGCTGAGGGACTTGGGTTAGTCGGGACTTGTCAGTGTGAGGTTAATGATTGGACTTGATGATCTTAAAGGTCTTTTCCAATCTAGGCAATTCTGTGATCCTGTGATGGCCCTAGTTCAACGCCTAGCGGATAAACTATTCACATAATTTAAAACACCTATAACCTCAGTTAGCAATTTTCACAAACAGGTCAAATGCTTGAACTAAACAGGGCTGTTACTTCTAAAAACACTACTAGATCTTGAGAGAAAACAAATATTTTGACTAGGACAAAACACTTCCAGACAGAGAACAATAAATTAACAGAGATATGAAAAAAATATTTTATATAGTCTCATACTTTTCCTTCTACAAAGGAGGTCATGACCAGAGATTTCCATAAACAATTATTTCAGTTTGTGGTAGAACTATTTGAAATGCAAAACAAAGCCATCTTTTATTATAATTTATAGATGGAAAAACTTTTTGATAAGAGTCTTTCATCCCTGCAAAAGAAAGGGGAAGCTTTACTAATACTACTGTAAAAAAAAAAATAATCTTAACACAAGTGTTTAATCCAACTTTTGGTATAGATGCATGAAATGGACTAATTAAGTCTGATCCCAGAATTGCTGTTTAATAATTAGCATATACTACTCCAAATAAATGTGGCATTGCTTTATGCTAAATTCTGAAGGGGCAGTGGATGGGAAGACATTTTTCCGTTTTAACTGGCCTGTATCATTCCCCCATAACAATACTAATGTCTATAACACTTTGAAAGTTGAGATAAATCTTTGAGTGAAGTTCACTATGTCATGAACAAAGTACAGTTAATTGACATATTTAAAACTTTTGAGTTTGCAGAAATTAATTTTTAACATTCAATTCAGTTGTTAATACTAAAATTAAAATATTTACTTAATGTCTGCAATATAATCTAAGCCTCAAAAGTATTTTATTGTCACCAATTTGCTTGTGACAGTTCAAGTATTTATACTTTGAAATATGTAGTGGAAGGTGTCCCTGCTGATGGCAGGGGGGGTGGAACTAGATGATCTTTAAGGTCCCTTCCAATCCTAACCATTTTATGATTCTATGATTCTGTGTTTGGCTTTTTAAACTACCATTTTGAAAGTAATGAGAAAAAAAAACAATTAAAAATTAAAATTAGGGGGAGGGGGAAGACAAGTTTATTGGAGACACTTACCATGAGTTAAATCAAAAGCCCAAGAAAACACAGATGCAAATTTTGAAATCAGTAGGACTCACGTGTGCCAAAGTAATCTTGGTTTGAATAATCAGGCTTCCTTTACAGTAAGCTATGATACCACTGATCAGGTATTAGATTTTTACAGAAACAGTTTTGAATTCACGCTCTTTTTCAGCAACCATAAAATAAAAAGGAAGGCAGCTAGATTTCCTGGAGTATTCAACCCAGCAAATCCCTACTTGCTGGGCAACATTTACATGCCACAAGCTGAAAAATACCTAGGTACAACTCAGGATTGTATCTATCACAGAAAGACACTGAAATAAAGAGTTTTTCCAGAATTCTCAGAAAGGAAGTGTAAATCTCAGAAAGAAAATTGAGAGACTGGAGAGCAGCATGCGTGCAATTAGACAAATATGCAATTCCACTGTTCAAGTCCACAAGTGCACTTTTTACAAATACAACATTACAAGATGCTAACCTTATTTCTGCTTCAACATCTTTGCTTAGGAACTTGGGTCTGAGGTAATCAGAAGAGTAATACCGTCTTTCAAATACTTGATCACCTGCAGCAGTGAAAGCTTCTCTACAATTTTTCGGCGGCCGACTACGCTGCATTACTTCACGAGCTTTAACATTACTCTGAAAAACACAATGATTTAGCATACTAAAGAAAACCAACAATAATTAAAAAATATCAATTTAAAACTTGTCTACAAGTTCTCTCCCAGAAGTAATTTTGCTTATAATTTGCCATGGGGAAAAATAATCACTAACCAAAAGGTCACTACGCAAAGGTGTATTTAATTATCAAGAGTGGAATACACATACAGGAAACAATATTCCAAAGAGCTGTGAAGGACATCAAACAATATTCATTTACAGTTTGGGGAAACATGCTGGTAAAAAAAAAAAAAACCATTGCCAGTGCCAGACTAAGTGGTCACAAGTGCCTTTGTCCGAAGCGACGGTATCCAGTGAGAAGTACTATTTCCTCCACCCAATACCCATTTAACTTCTTTCTGATTCAGTTGAAATTGTTCAGGTAGGGCTCGAAGATAACAATGTTATGAAAATCAGTGGTTA